CCCACCCACCCACCCACCCACCCATTCACACATACACACCACCACCGACCTGCCAATCGCCAGCCGTCTAGCTGTCTTCTCACCTGTCTTCTCCGAGCAAAGGTCTAGCTGTCGGAGCGCGAGGCGACGGCCCGTGCTGCCTGGCAGCAAGTGGTTGTGTGGTCACTCACCGTTCCCATGGCACCATTCGCCATGTCCGTGTGCGCGGGCACACAGTGTCACGCGTTGGTCCACGGCACGAACAAACACGAACAGTCGATCGTGATGTAATGGTAACGAGCTACAGACGATGCTCATGAGCAGCACACGTGAATGCAATGGACAGGCATGCAGACTGACAGACAGACAGCCATGTCCAGTCAGATGCGGACGGACATCGACTTTGCATTTGGACAGGATTCGCGTTCTGGCTCGAAGGAGACGGAAATTGTTTGACCGGAGTCGAGAATTCACGCGAGCAATGTTCCACCGCGCGCAGTTCGACGAAGTTCGAGCACATTTCGTCGAAGTGCGCATCTCCCGCATCTCTTGTGCAATGGCATCGTTGACGACAACGCCTTCCTTAGAGAGCACTTCACTGGGGTCTTCAGGCTGGCTGGGCGAGGGCTAAGAGATTCTCCACCGAGATCACCACCCGCATCAAGTAGAGCATTGACAAGCTGTGGTGCAAGCACGGGATCGTCGGCCTCCTGACCTACGACCGCGACAACACGCGGCCCAAGCGAGAGGAGGATCCCCACTAGCCAGAGATGACCCACCGGTGGCTAGTGGGGATTGGCTTCATTCGTCCTCCTGCTGAGGTAAGCGGTGGCTGTCAGAGCATTGAGAGAATGGTACGGACAGCCTCTGTCTGTCCGTCTGTCTGTCCGTCTGTCTGCCCGGCTGTGCCGCAGTTTTTCTGTCACCTGCTCGCGCTTGTGAGGCTACTTTTGTCGAGACGGCATTCAAGGACATGCTCCGAGAGGCGAGCGGGGGTGGGTGATAACCAGGGGCGAGCTGTGGGCGGCTAACGGCGTTAGCCGCCCCAGCGCGTTGGCAAGGGCAGTGGCTGCGGCTTTCAACTGCCGCTCCTCATCACGGCAGACGACGTGCAGCGGGCGGTGGCTGACAAGGCGGCCTACCTCAACCGCCCATGGCCATCCGTCTGTTCAGCCTCTTCGTCCACCGACTATACTCCGTCGACCTGACAGTGGGAGGTGGACGGGAGGTGTGGGAGGACTCATCGTCGCTGACCCTCACCTTCCTGGGCGTCTGGCTCCTCTCGCTCATCATCCTGGTGGTGCTGCTGATCAAGACATGCATCATTCCAGGCGTCGTATGAGTGTGGACCAGCATGTACAACTGCTGCCACCAGATCCAGAGGCGGGTGGTCCAGGGATGGACGCGGGTGGGTGGCTGATCGGATACGGGGGGAGAGGGGGAGGACGCACCGTGGTTCGAGCGGCACAGCAACAAAAAAAGTGGACACCAAAACAAGGCAGGCGGCTGGTATGTGATGCATGAGCTCGAGTAACTCAACCCTCTATTGCTCTGCAGTGTCTCGTGTCAGACCTGCCATCAACGAGCACGCGCCGAAGAAGAGACAGCGGACGAGGAAGTCGTTGAAGAAGGGTTGAGGGGGCGGATCTGACGACGAGGGCGAGGACAGTCAGCGAGCGAACAAAGAGGCCAAGCAACTGGCCAACAAAGCTAAGGCGGAGTTCGAGAAAATGCATATGTGGTCATGGCCTCTGAGCGTGTACAACCACTACACAAACAAGATCGCCGACAATTTGCACAACATAAGACCATCGACATGAAGAACGAGCTGTTTATCACGTGCAAGTGTAGGGGCACGACGCAGATTAACGCAGAGAACCGCGGCCGGCTGTTCGCCCGATTCACATCGCTGAGTGCCTCCGCCAAGACGAAGGAAAACAAGAAGAAGCACAAGCCGTGGCGCGAGGACAAGCTTTCCGATGCTGCTGCGCGCCATGGATCTCATCCGACAGGTCCTCCGCTTTATCGACTATACTTCCATCGTAAAGGAACCTAAGCCGCTGATCGTATACCATACGACACTCCATGACGACTGGGACGCACAGTTGTTTCATCTGCCGGTGGCCTTTCACGATTGCCAAAGTGAGATGACCTTCATGACCACGAAGGGTGAGGCACTGCCTCAGAGAGTGGTTCTCAGTCAGGTCGTGGGGGAAGACAGAACATACCCGGTGTGTCGGTTTCAGTCGATGTCATCTATTCTTGGAATGTCAGCCCGCTCGCATGTCACCGAAAGTCGCTGACTTTGTTGTTTTTCTCTGATATCAGGTTTGCAATGGAGAGAGGGCCGATGCCCATCAGCGCTGCCCATCCTACACCACAAAAACGACAACCCAGCCGAAGGCCCCATTCCTGAAGCGTCATCAACTATTCGCCACAGTCAACTATTTTAAACAACACGGTGTGGATGGCGGAATCTCGCAGATCTGCATCTACCTCAAGCAGCGCGGCTATACTCGGACCAACCCGCAGGTGCTGGTCAACTCGGACAGCAATACCGGCGGCCTGGCGCTGGCGGGGATGCAATGCTACATCGACGGCATCATCATTCACGCTACCGGAAATGCTGGCGCGAACAACGTGGCCTTCAGCCGCCGGACGACATGCCATTGCACTACGTCCAGGCCGGCTCAAGCGACAATAACACTGTCCTCGACTGCGCTTGTTCCTGCAGGAGGCGAAGGACCGAGCCAACATAGCCCCGCCCAAGTCAGCTATCACACGATGTTCTTCATTGCGTAAGTGAGGGGGATGGAGTCGTGGCTGGAAAAGACTGAATGTCCGGGTGAATGTATGTCGTTTTACGGAGCTGAGCATACTGCAGGTCTTCTGCATCATCAATTACTCGCCTCAGGACACCGCGTGTTTTTGTCAACTCACTGGGTAGGCGTCAAGCAATGGGCATTTTCTAAGTTGGCGTGTTTCGATGTCTCGAATGGCTGTGTCCGTTGTGCTGCTCATGCCTTGGTCTGTCAATCAATCAGGGCCCAACACGACCTGTCGTTCATTGGGTCAACTGTGCGAGTCATGTGCGCTCGAGCACGATGGAACAATGGCAGGGCAGAAAACGTCAAAAAGGACATCCCGGTGAGAAATGCTTAGAGCGACTCAGACCACACAGCAAAGAGAAGGGCTGAGGGTTGATGAATGTGTGTGAGCAGGATGGCTTCCCAAGCCTTCTTCACTGAGCTCGACGAGACCGACGCCGCCATACGGGAGAAACTGAAGGTCCTGGAGAAAGTGAGAAACGAGGAGGCCGAGAAATGGTGGCCTCAACGCAACAACGTGGTGATCAACAATATCGACATCGCCATCAGCAACTACAAGAGAGACCGAGCATTCATCAGGCTCTTAAGTATGCATGCACAGAAGATGCGCGTGTATACTGCAAAAGTAGCCATTCTTAGATCCTATGCCTGTAAAACAGAGCGCAAAGCAGAAGAAAACATCCTTATACGCAGGAAAAGTAACAGAGTTCCAAGTGGATCTCAACACGGTCGGTCACAAAAACCTGCAGCTTGACACGGGCGACCAGGGCTATCAGCGCTTTTTCTTTAAAGCGACCGAACTGACGTTTCGCGAGCTGTACGTACGTATCGGGCGGTGGGCGGTGGAGCGAATAGCGAAGGAGGGCGCATAGGAAGAAGAAAGAGGGGAGGGACACGAGCACCTTACATAGTGTCTTGTGTGTATTCATGTATGTGTGTGTGTCAGGTTACCTATGCCTGTCGCGGAGTGCTCTGTGATAAGCAGCCTTCACCACTGACGGCATGGCCGAGGCGGGCATCGTCCCCAATCCATGGCCACTGGGACGGGAGAGCAACTACGAGGCCTACAAGAACCTCAGTGTGTGTCAGGCACGAGAGTTCAACTTCTTCATCAGGGACGGCAAGCGCCGGATTGCGGCCGCACTCAAGGGCAAGCCGACAGTGTAAGTGTCTGTCTAGATCATATTACACACTCTGTCTCATGTCACCATCTGTCTCATGCCATTGCCTGTCTCGCGTGTGTATGTCAGGGCGAGTCGGGTGGATCACAGCCTCCCCCCGAGGCTGAATGAGATCCGTATGATGTCAAATGCGCAGTTCTTGGCGTCTTCACTCACTCCCCTCGTCGATCCCTACCACGCACCGCTGTTCGACCTGCAAGAGGTCGACGAGCTCGGGGGCGCCCAGCAAGCCAACCACCCACCAGAAGGAGAGGCACCCGCGGTGGCGGCCGGGGTGTTCCCGGGCCATCACGTCACGGGTCACTACTTACTTTCAGGGAGGGGATTGAGTATATGAGTACGCATCACGTTTCGCATACACATCATCAAACGTTACAAATAGACATCCACTATAGCAAGTCTCATTGTCCCATCCTAGTGCTCTGCCTGTTCATCATCTCTTCTCCCATCGCCGTATCCTTTGTGTCTGATGACTCGTATGACCGACAGAGTGCCAAAACATCTGATTGATGAATGGAAAGTCGTCTGCACATATCGGCCATACACACGACACGCGCAGACACAGCAACATGCACATCGCATGCATCGCATGAATCGATCTTCGGCTCAAGCACAAGCATTTCACACAGCATCTCAGCACCAAAGGACACAGGGGGAGAAGAGAGAGAAGGGGATCTTGCGGGTGCACATGCAGATCGACCTCTGCGTACCTGTTGGCTGGCCACATCAAGCACTGACACACCCGACAAACCATGCAGACCTGACACACACACAACACACAGGGACACATATACAATGGAAACATCCACCCTGTGGCCATTCACATACGCCGGACACACACCTAGTAGCAGTGCAATGACGGGCAGTGTGAGCCTCTTGGATAAGTTGGCGTCCACACGGCCTATCGACTGTATGCGCACACACGCCACCCACCCTTACTTATCCCATCCATCCATCCATCCATCAATCCATCCATCCATCCATCAATCCATCCCACGCATACTTGTGTGGTGGTGCCCGGCACATGGGGGGGACCCCATTCGGTCATGCACACACACACACACACACACACACGCGCGCGCGCACACACACACATTCAAACAGACAGCTGAGTGTCTGCACGAGTGTGAGTGCACACCTTGTTCATGATGACTATGACGGTTTCCTTGCCGGTCCGGTTGATCACATCCAGCGTGATGGGAAACGGCAGCTCCACCTACACACATGCATACGGATGGATCCCCATTCATTCATTCATTCATTCGTCTGTCTGTCTGTGTTGGCTCACCCCGACAGTGTGTGGGCACTCCCTCACTCTCAGCTCTAGACGCTTCGGCTGGATCGGCTGCATAAGTCACCAACACACACATACACACATGCAAGGAGAGTGCCGGCCGCCTCTGTCCGTGTGTCTGCCTGTGTGGGATCGCACCATTCTCTCTATTCTGTATTCGTTGTGCACCCCCCGCTCCCTGGTGGATGTGCGCCACTCGAGCAGCAGACGGCCGATCGACGGCAATGTCTGCACACAACAAGATCAGATCGTTGTCAGTGCACGCGTGTGTCTGCGTGTGTGTGTGTACCCTTCTCGTCTTCCTGCACTGATTCAGCGCTTGATGTGAACACCCTATGCACATGCATATACATTTGCACACGCATCTCCACCGCACACACATGAAGGGATGGACACCAGCGCACCATCCTTGTGTGGCCTCGGCGGTTTCTCTCTTCAGCTCCTCGTCACTACTCGTCACGCACAGCGGAAAAACACGGACACCTGACACACACAGAGAGAGAGAGCCGCACACACGGATTGTGAGCCAGATCTGCAGGTGAGATGCGTCCCCGCATAGATTCGCATCTATATGTCCACCTGGCCTTGGGGCGCCGCCTCTTGGTGCATTGCTTCACCAGCAAGCGACAACAGTCCATCTGGGAGCTTACCTTCGACCCGAGCTTAGCTTCGACCCGGCTCGCAGAGGCAGAACGAATTGATTCATCGCACGACTCTGTACCCGCCGTCACTGCTTGACTCGCAGCCAGCTGTCACCCTCAAGCACAGATCATCCCTCCCCGTCCCTTCGGTGACGACCAATAGCCATGGTGGTGTGGGTGCTGCTGCTGACGTCGATGCTGCTTCCATTCATCTTGCCGTCGGCAACTGGGTTCCTCCTGCCCCGTCCGAGTTCGCAACTGAGAGCACCGGCTGCCCAGAAGGTCACCCGACTGAGTCAGGAGCAACAAAGGGAGGCTTACGATTGGGCTCTGCCGCACATCAAGGACATCGTATCGCCTCCCTTCTTCATCGAGGGCACCATTGATGGTGTTGTGCCGGTCATTAGAGGCAAGACAAGAGACTGGGCCCTCGACTTATCAGAGAATCAGGACATGATGATTCGGAAGCTGTTGAGGGAATACTCGTGGTCTTACAACTGGAATCTGCTTTCCGAGGAGAGTCTGAAAGCTGCCTATGCGTCCGCCAATCAGTCGCCGGTCGGCTTGCTTGGCGAAGAGCCAGGTGACAGGGTGGATTTTGAGCATCGCAAGTCGAGGGAATTCGCAACAAGCGATCTGCACATACAGGGAACGGTAGCTCCCTGGACGTCTGAGCAGTACCGAGGTAATCTTGAGGAAGGTCTGAGATTCAATGTCACTGACAGAACCAATGGCACATGGACTGCCGTCATCGAGGAAATATGTCAAGAAGTGGCCAATAGGCTTTCGCCGGGCAGCGAAGTCAAAGCAGAACTATACAAGGTAAACGATTCTCGTTGATGCAGCACTTGCGAGACTTGGTGATTATGATCCACATCTATGTTGTCATCGCAGATGCTGATTTACAGTGAGGGGGACCATTTTGCAAAGCATGTCGACACGCAGCGCTCGGCAGACATGTTTGCGACGCTCATCGTCTCTCTCCCGACCGAGTACAAAGGAGGAGCTTTTACACTGTGGAAGGATGGAGAGGCTCATAAAACCAGCGATTCTACTTATCGTCAAACCTGGGTAGCCTTCTTTTCGGATGTCCCACATAGCGTTGAGACAGTTACTTCGGGTTATCGATGTGTCCTCGTATACAACCTCAGCCGCCGGCAGGTTGGAAGGCGAGAGAAGCGAAGAAGCAAGATCACAGAGAAATTCGTGGGGTCACTGAAAAAGTGGTTTCAGGAGAAGGACAGAGAGGTATGCAGAGAATCTGATGCGTGCCTTACATGCGTGCGTCAGGGTGCCTTTTGTTGTATGTGCTTTCAGGCGCTGGCGATTGCGCTCGAATATCAGTACACTCCTTCGAGCATTGGCGTGGAGTATTTGAAGGGCAGGGACCGATTGCTCTATGACATCTTGGCCGAGCATTTCAACGTCAGTCTTGAGATAGTTCATCAGAACTGGAGGGCCCTACCAGCAGATGATGATTTTGATGATGAGGACGAAGACTATGATTCCTATGAGGACCCAGACTATGAGTGCCCCGTGTTGTGCGGCATGGATATTGTCGACCCGCGTTATCTCGAGCTGCTCGATGAGAGCAACGACAAGAAAGCGTGGCGCTGGTTTCTCGCCTTGGAGGATGACGAGTTGTGTTCAGGTCAGCGTGTATTCAATGATTGTCAGCCTGAGATTATATTTATCGTGTCGTTCTTCTGTCTTTCGCATTCAACGCAGACTACATTGAGAAGTACGAGACACAAATATGCGCCCAAGGCTTTCAATGAGTCACTACTCGGATGCACTTTGGTCTGTCAGGTTTGGCAAGAGGAAGCCGCTCGTTGGATTGAATATTGGTCGTCAAGGCGGCGCCTTTCAGCCCGACGATAGGGAAATCGAGGGCAGAACGGGGCCCACCTTCGCAAAGAAACCACAGACCATCAAGAGAGAGATGGTGCGATTGGGGAATCAGATGGGGCTAGGTGAGAAAGACATCGAATGAATTCATCGACAGCTCACATGAGTCACCCTCATTTTGTTTGTGTTTCCGATTTGCAGTCCATTTCCAGTATCTGAGCGTCGCCTTGGTCATCCATGGGATTGCATGACACGACATTGCTGGGCGGGGAGTTTATTTTTCAGCCGGCCTATTCTGCGTGCAGGGACGCAATTGCTCGATTACTTGAAGCAGTCATAAGCAGTCAGTATGTGGAAGCATTACAAAACACACATCACTTAAATCTGCCTGCCATGCCGAGTCACTAGTGTCATCTCTCTTCGTTCATGCACACGTAGCGACCGACCTACACTCACTCACCTCACCCAGCCCACCAGATGGCTGTGAATCCCTCCCTCCATCCCTGCCTGCCTGCCTGCCGACGCCCCGAAGAGCAAGCTGGGTATGATAGAGATGGACATACACATACATGGCAAACGACGCCAAGCATGAACGCAGCTAGCCAGCCATCCGTGGATGACACATCGAATTTCGTCTTTCAGCTCTCGCCAATCTGGTCATTCATTCATTCAGTCATCCATTCATTCAGTCATTCCCATAGTTTGTGCTCGAAGTCCCACTGATCCAGCGCTGCAAAATACAAAATACGGAACGAGGGAGAGGGTGTCTTCTCTCCTCTCCTCTCTCTGCTGCTCGCGTCCGTGTGTGTGTGTGTGTGTGTCTGACCTCCTCCCCCTTTCCTCTCTGTGTCCATGAACTGCAGCTCGTGGCCATCGCTGCCAATCACAACCACACCTGGCACACCCGCACGACGCGTCATACCCTCTGCATACACGCAACACACACACACACACACACACACATATCCCATGTCCACAATGCAACAGCCGGTTGGCTCGTTCGTACCGAATTTGTGCGATTCTCGTCTTGCCCATACGCCGTGTTGCCTCTTGAGTTTGTCGGTGAGGGGGTCGTCGTAATCTATCCGCAGCCAGGGGCCGTGTGACGCCTCCATGTGTGCCGCCTGGGACGCATTGTCGCCGTCCGAGGACACAAAGATGACCTCTATCTTCTGCCCATCAGTGTTCACCTGTGCAGCACCCATCCATTCAGCAGATGAAGGCCCACACACACACACACACACACACACACATACACACACCACACGCATGTGCGTGTCTGTCATGCTGTGTTTTGGTGCTCACGCGCTGATAGAAGCTCCTCAGCACGGGCGTGAATGATTGGCACATCGGACACCACCCAGCAGCGAAGTACAGCGCCACTGACTTCCCCTGGAGAGATGCGATGCTAGCGGCCTCGCCCGTTGCCGACTTGATGGCGCCAGCACGACTCAGGTCGGTCACCACATCACTCACTGACACACACAGGACCGAGGAGCAAAGCTGTCAGCCCATCTTCACCGACGCGTACCGATTGTTGGTGGCTGAGCATTGCTCATGGCGATGGTGCTGCTTCTGAAGAATGCGCCTTTGTGGGTGTGTGCTGCGGGCAGCCAGAGTCTGAAGGCCTGCACGCTGATGAAGCCGAAGGCCAGGCAGAAGGTGAGGGTGCTCAGGAAGCTAGTCAAACACGCCAGCGCAGTGGGCGGAGCCGTCATCTCATCCCACCCGCATCGCGATGCTCGAGTTGCCCCCATGCAGCCCCCAGTCTCACTCCGAGTCTCCAGTGGTTAGAGAGAGTCCTTCGTTGTTAACCTCACGGGCAACTCCCTCCCTAGTCTCCCCGAATGGAAGGCGCATCTCTGAGCCCCTCGCCGTATGGCCAGCTCCTGCCGCCGTGGCTCCTCCCACAACCTCCCCCTGCACTGGCAGGCACCACACCATACCTTGACGGCCGGGAGGTGGAAAGACTCGAAAGGCGATTGTCCGACATCAAGCTGAAGCGTGGCGTCCGGTCCGATGCATTTGCCAGCGCCCTGCACGATCTGGTGGTGCTCGTCAACTCGATGGCCGCCCAGCAGTCGGCTCTTGACCTGAGGAGCGACGCCCTCCGGCTGCTTCGGAAGGCACAGCGGCATGTGAGACGGAGCGAGTTGGAGGCCAAGGAGGCCGGTGGAGGCCTAGGCTTTTCTCTGCTCGCGGGGATGCTGACGTCTCTCCGGTGTCTCACCCTCAACAACCTGGCGACGTGGTATCGGAGGGGCGGGCAGATCCGCAACGCTCACGGGTGTCTGAAGGAGGCGCTGTCCCTGCTGGAAGAGCACTCGCCATCCTCATCATCGGTTGACGACCGCGCAGCCACCCACCTGAGCATATGCGACGTGCTGACCGACCTGCATCAGCCGTGCGCGGCCCTCAGACATGCACAGGAGGCCATCGAGATGTGTGAGGGGGCTTTGATGAGGCTGACGCCGTCCCGCCTGACGAATGGCAGCAACAATGGCACGGACACGCTCAACACCAAGACGGCTCTGCTGGCACTCGGCTACTCACACGCAGCGGCTGCGTTGGAGCGGCTGCCGGGTCAGGGGGATGAGTGTCTCGCTGTGCACCAGCGGGCCCTTACCCTTGCCGGGCAGTTTCTGGACCCTTCTTTCAAGCCGCTGATCGCCGCTCTGCAGGACCGCTACACGCGCACACTGACCAACATGAGATACAGCAAGACACACCAACAACAGCAGCAGCAGCAGCACCAACAGCAGCAGCACAGGGAGGAGAGAAGCAAGCGCGTGCAGATAATCAGCACGCCCGTCGTGCATCGGTACCCGCTGCTCTCGTCTGCCCCGAGACACCGAAGTGACCTGAAAGGGATGATGCCCTCATTGCCGTCATCCCCCGTGCACACGGCCAAGTCGACCCCCGTGCTGCGCAATGCTTATGTGCCCGTAGTGCATGCCGATGCCCACCTGGGCGGGCCCGTGAGACACCTGCTGGAGATCAAGCGGTCGCCCATTCTTTTTGACAGAAGGCGGTTGTCGAGAGAAAGGGACAAGGAGAGAGGCAAGGGGCGAGTGTTCAAGGCCAGAAGGACGGCAGCTGCCATTACCATCCAGCGGGCATATAGGCGACTGAGGAGAGCGAGACAGCCCACAAGGAGGCCGCCACCACTCCGTGACAATTCCGACGCCGTTGCGGTTGCCACTGCCTCGCATGGTGGCGTGGCAGCTCATTATCATCGGCAGGAGGACTGTCAGCCACAGACAAGGGACGAGGCGACCGACCGCTGTCGGCCAAAGACAGTCGCTGCCACCGCAGCCACGCCACTTCTTCCCCTGCCCTCTCTCTCCATCTCACTCGACGCCGGCAGCGGCGCTGGAGGGCCGGGCCATCCCCAACACACACATGAGGACCAGAAGTCCAGGAATAGTCGGCTCATCAGTCGACGGACAGCACACCAGAGTATGGCGCCGCCATACAAGAAGACGGCCCTCTCGTCGCTTCCCACTCGCGACACGATGCAGCCGGGGTCGCCCGAAGGGACCACAGCCGCGTACACGGAGCCATCGATGCCCACCCCTTTGCCGTCACTGCCCGGCGGCCACCAGACACACATGAGGGAGCAGCAGCAAGAGGGGGTGCAGCCGCAGCATCAGCTACTGCGTCGAATTCGGTCGCTGACGGGTGACCTCATTGCATTCCCTTCGCTGACGCCCCCGTCACTGCCAATGAGAGGGGGAGACATGACGACGGTGCAGGAGGACGGTGGTGCTGGTGGTTGTGAGAGGCGTGGGTTGGATGATGTGCATCCCCTGAGCCCCCTGTCGCCGCCTCTTTCCCCGCCACCCATCACCTCGCCGCCCCTCTCATCAATTGAAGTCATGTTCGGTGCGCCGATCTGCCTCTCTGTTCCTCTCTCCCTTGCTTGTATTCTTGATTTGTGTGTGGGGGGATGCAGGTGCGTGTGTGCGCCCGCTCCCTCTGGTGGTGCCCTCAGATGAGCCCAACGCCTCTGGCTGGACCAAAGTCAAAGACGCCTTCTCGCCCTCATCCCTCACGCCCATCGTCAACACGCGCCCCAACACGTCGGCCAACTCACCGACCCCAAAAGGCCGGCTGCCATCGGTGTCTTCCCCTCCGTCTCTGTGGACGTGTGCGGCCTACTGGACGAGGCAGCTGGGCATGTGGCGGCTGGAGGTGCGGACGGCGCAGAGGAAGGGCGGCAAGATCGCCCCACCGCCCGTCGAGCTGAAAGCCGACGCAGCGGAGCTGGAGCGCCTGGGCTATGAGGACGCTTCCTCTGGTAGACAGAGGCACAACCTCACTTGCACCCCCTTTCTCTCTGTGGATCGGTCTGTCCATTCTATCAGAGCTGTCGATGCCTCGTCTGCGGCTGCTGGGCGCCCGTCTGCTCTCCGCGTTGGCCATTACCTCCTCCCCCTACCCGCCCCCTCCCCCACCAGAGACACCAGCGATCTCTCTTGTCCTGCTGTCGAAAGACAGAGTGGACGCCATCGAGAGCGAAGAGCACACCGAGACATACATCAACGAGGAGGAGGCATTTGCAGGGGCAGAGGAGGGGGGAGAGGGAGGAGACACCGACAAGGGCGAAGGTGAGACGGGAGAGACACAGGCGCAGCAGAGGGAGAGGGAGACACCCGCCGAGGAAGGACAAGAACAAGAGCAGGAGCAAGAGCAAGAGCAGGAGCAGGAGCCTTCCTTCAGCCCGTTTGTGTGGACCTGCCAGCGGGACATCCCTGTCCACACCAACTGCGAAGGCGAGGCCCGAATGAGCAACACCACACGCAGCACCTGCTTAGCCCGCCCAATGAGCAACACCAAGGGGTGGCTCGTGACCGTGCAACCACAGCAGCCCCACCACCACCACCAGCACCACCACCAGCCCACATCGATGGAGCGTGTGTTGATGGATGTGCCGGGCGACGTCGCTGACCGCGGTAGCGTGACCGCATTGCGAAGGGTCGCTGAATCGCTTTTGGCCAGGGTGGGGGTGCGTGACGGTGCTGTGTTTGTGGCAGAGGGCGAGGGGCTCCGAGGCGGTGGGAGTGTGCGTGCGGTGATGGTGTGCACACCAAGGTGATGTGGATGGGGTCGCGCAACGACAGTGCATTGCACGACTGACCATTGGATTGGATCTCATTCAATCGCCGGACACACCGCATTCATTCCATCGACATCGGTCCGGCCGCACGTGCACTCGCATACACAGACACACCCACAAGAGACAGACGCGTCAGACAATTGCAGCCAGCCGCCACTAAGGCATCCAGTCAGCTGATCCAGTCGGTCAGTCACTCTCCCTATAGCAAGGTATCAAAACCCACCCACCCAGCCCAGTCAGTCAGTCAGTCAGTCGAGCGAACGACAGAAAAAGATAGACGCGACACCACAGGACACACTCATGCAGCTAGGTAGGTATGTGTCTGTCTGTCGCTCCCCGCTCAGTTGATTGATTGATTCCCTTTGGCCGCACGCCTGACTATCTGTCCGTCCTACCTCAGCATGCAGCAGACACTCTATCCACTTGTCTGTCTGTCTGTCTGTCGTGTGTGTCATTCTTCCTCATCTTCTTCCTCCATCTGCTGCTGCTGGTGCATGAGCCTGCGTCTCTTGGCCTGGCGCATCCACCGCCCCATGCGCACCAGCTTGCGGTACTTTGGGGAACACCCACGCATCTCCTCGCGATGCAACTCGTTCAGCTGTAGAAACACACATACACAGACAGACAGAGAGAGGTCAGTGCATTGGGTCTTGTGCGGTGCGCTGTCTTGTGTGTGTGGTTACGATGGTCCGCAGCAACTGAGCCTTGTCGACACCCATATCCTCATTCTCATCCTCCCCCTCCCCCTCTCCACCCTCCTCGCCCTCCTGCCCTTCGTCGTCATCCTCATCCTCATCTTCGTCTTCATCCTCATGGCGGCCCGTCTTGACCTCGCCCAGCATTTCCACCTCAGGAGCGACGGGCGCCGGCTCATATAAGTCGCGCTTGCGCTTGTTGATGTTGCTGGCGGTGGCGCGGGCCTGCTTCTCGGATGTGGATGGCTTGCTGTCGTCCTTGAGGTGCTTGTCGGACAGGTCGTCTCTGCTCGTCCAGATATGGAATACACATGATGTGTTGTTTGTTGGTTTGTATGGGTGGGTGAGCGTGTGGGGGATGGGCTGCTTACTCGTCCGATTCCTCTTCCTCCTCGCCCCCTTCTTCCTCCTCTTCATCATCGTTGCTGTCACTGCACACACACACATACACACACACACACAGTGGCATGGATTAGTGAATGAATCGATATGCTCCACATCTCCTCTGTGTGACTCACTGACCTCTCGTCCTCATTGATGTCGAAGTCCGCCAACTCCGCTGCCACCCCCAGGTCCGGCTCCTCCTCCCCCTCCTCCTCCCTTCCCTCCCCTTCATCGTCTAGCTCCTCTACCTCCACACCCCCGCGACCCTTGCCGGCCCTCACACCTTTGCGGCCGCCGGTGGGGCCCTCATCCACATCGGGCGCCGGCTTGATGCTGCACACACACACACACACACAGACACAGAAAGAAAGAGAGAATAAGCAGAAAGGTGTGTGCGTTCATTCTGAATCTGTGCGTGTAGTGGCTGACGTACGTGGTTGTGACGATGTTGACAATGGTGCCGTCGGGCAGTTTGCGGACCTCACGCGCGACGGTGTACTCGTGGCCCTGGGCCGTCTGATACTCCGACTCGTCCTTGAACTCTACACACACACACACACACACACACAGGTACACAGACAGGCGCTCTCTCTCTCTCCCGTGTGAATGAGTGTCGTGTGTACCTTCGCTGTCGATGATGTCCTGTATGTGTAGGTCGTTGAGCGGGCCGCGTATCACCATGTCCGCCTCGTCCTCGTCATCGGCGCCACTGTCGTCATCCTCATCCATGTCGCCATACATATCCCTGCACACACACGCAGCACACACATGTCGATCGATGCACGTCGTGACTGACACATGTGCCACGCGCGTGTGCATGTCAGGTGCCTGAGTGTTTCATCTTCGTCTTCGATGGCATCGTCGTCGAACAGCCCCATCGGGTCGTCATCGGGGTCCTCTTCCTCCTCCTTGTCGTCATCGTCGTCGTCGAACACCAACCTACTGCAGACATCCACACCACACAGAGAGGCTCATGGACCGGTGCATGCGCCATCCTCCAGAGTGTCCCTGCCTCTGTCTGTCTGTCTGTCTGTCTGTCTGGGATTGCGTACGGACCGCCCTCTGAAGGTCATGGTGCCACCGTGGTCGTACGCCGCCAGCGCATCGTCGTCGTCCTCATCAGCATCTGCAGTCAGTTGATGCAGTGCAGCACACACACATTGCCAGCATGTATATGAGCGAGCGATCGGTCCACGAACAAGTGCATTCCCGCTGACCGTCGTGCTCTTCGTCCTCGTCCTCGTCTTCATCATCGTCGTCACTGTCGTGCATCATGGCCTTGTGGGACCACTGTGTGGTACGGACACACACACACACACACACAATTCCCATCCATCCATCCACTCCAGATGTGTCTTCCTTCCCGTAGTTACGTGGAAGATGTCGTCATCGTGGTCGAAGTCCTCGTCGTCCATGCCGTCGCGGCCACGCTCCTCACGAACTATCTCTGATGGACGGACCAGGCATTCGATGAGCCATTAAATGCAATGCATTCTCTCTGTGTGTGGGTATGGTAAGACGACCTTCGATTTCGTCCTCTTCGTTGCCCTCACCCTGGCCCTCGGGCGCAGCAGTGCCGCCAACTGACAACACAGACAGAGAATTGGGGCATGAGATGGCAGGTGTGTGTGTGTGTGTGTGTGCGTGGCCTGGTCCTGTGCACCCTTCTCCTTGGTCTCTTCCTCCTCGTCGGGATGCTGCTCGTCGTCGCCTTCACCGGCACCCCCATATTCCTCGCCCAACGCATCCCTGACAGACCGCAGACACAGTGGATGGTGGCACTGTAGGTCTGTGTGCGTTGCATCATGCTGCCTGTGTGGGAGAGAGGTGGGTGTGTGTCGTTACTTGAGTTCCTCTGTGTTGTCCTCCTCTGCCTCCTCGTCGACAAACGCCGCCGCTAAGTAGGGAAGGGACACATCACATCACACGAACCAAACAGACATATCCATGGAGGGTGCGGTCTTCTGTCTGGCTGTCTGGCTGCCTGGCTGCCTGGCTGTCTGTCTGTCTGTCTGTCTGTCTGTGAGCCTCTGACCTGCCCGGCGCGCCTTCTTGAGCCGATGCCGCTTCTCCTTGCGCTTCTCCTTGCGCCCGGCACGGAGGACCACTAACTCGTAGTCCTCACCCTCGTCAGCCTCACCATCACCCTCTTGCTGCTGCTCTGCTGTGTTGTCATGCTCCTCCTCATGGTCTTTCTCTGATACTTCGTAGTCGTCGTCATCGTCATCGTCCAGCACCCTCTGTCAGTCATGAAACGGATGGGCACCACAGCACAACACAGCAGAGCAACAAGTGTATGGGTGTGGGTGTGGGCTGCGGATGGCCCGCTGACTCACCCGTTTGTTGTGTTTCTTGCCGATGACGTCCTCCTCGCTCTCCACCGACGCACCGTCAGACTGCCCACCGAACTGCAGATGAATGGACGTCACACACATGCACCCACAGCACACACAGACATTCGTCCTCTCATGTGACTCGTGTGAGTGTGGGCGGTCGCTCACCGGTTTGTCGGCGGTGCGCGTATCTTGGTGGTATTTGTCGCGCATCGCGTTGGCCATGAGGGTATCCAGGTGTGTGCCGTTGAGGGGGGGGGGTGGGGGAGGCGCCGCGTCCTCATGCTCATCTTCCACCTGCAACTCGTCCTCTTCCCTGCCGCAGACAGACAGACAGACAGACAGCATCCACACGTGGGCATCTTCTGCTTCTGCAGCTTGTGTGGATCGGGTGAGCTCACTCACCTGTTGTGGTCGTGGCCCGCCACGCTGTCGTATATCTCCCGAGCGTTCACCCCCAACATGAGCACATCCAGGTCGCCACCCTCACGCTTCTCCACCTGCCATAACATCACAGACAGACAGACAGACAGTCAGAAAGTCAGACTCATGCATCTATGTGTGTGTGGATCCATCCATGTAAGTGCGTGTGGGTACCTCTTCTTTGAGCCCTCCCCACTCGCCTTCGTCGTAGGCGTACCGTCTGTTGGGGCTGGAGAGGATGCTGTACGCCCGGGCCAGGGCGCTGAACTCGCCCTCGTCGCCCGCCGAGCCATCGGGGTGGCACCTACACAACCCATCCAACCAACCAGACCCACAGAGATCACAAATGCGTGTGTGGAGGGGCTCGGACAGACACACACACGCCTCACACACCCGCATGCATCTGTGCCCCTGGCTGAGTGTTCCGGGCCCTCACTTGGTGGCTCGCTCCTTGTAGGCCTCCAGTATCTCCTCGGTCGATGACCACCTGTCAATGCCCAGTGCGGTGTACAAGCAAAAGCGCTCGTGGTCATCCATCTTCTCAGTTGAGCTTGCCGTCAGGCCGCCTAGGGCGCTCCCTGAAACCGCTGCCCAGTTCGCCAAATCAGGGCAGCAACACATGCTCCTTGCCAGTCATCTACTGCTGCTGCTGTCCGCATCGCCACAAACCACAATTATTCGACACTCATCATCGCCATCTCTCCGCATGTCGATGGCATCATCGTCCCCATTCCGCTACGTGTACCTGCACGGCTGGCTGAGCGGCCCGCAGAGCTTCAAGGGCACCTTCTTGAAAGACAAGCTCAGCCCCCTCGGTATCGACTTGCAACTCATCGACCTCAACAGAGGGAAGCCGCCGGGCCAGATGACGTATGACGGGGCGCTGATTGCCGTCGATGAGGTGTGGGAGAGGGAGGCGGGGGCACATGGCGAAGGGGAGGTCAAGCTGCGGCTGATCGGGTCATCGCTTGGCGGCTACTTCGCTGGTCGGTGGGTGGATCTGCGTGTGTGTGTGTGCGTGTGTTGCCATGCATCCGTCCATCCATCCATCGAGTGCTCTCTGTGTGTGCTGTGTGTGTGAATGTCAGCGCGCTATGCGGAGCTGCATCCCAACCGTGTGGACAGGATGGTGCTGCTCTGCCCGGCCTTCGACTTCCACAACCAGTTCAGAAAACTCACAGGAGAGGTACACACACACACACACACACACACCCCTCTGACTTCGTCTGTCTGTCTGTCTGCCAGAACACAGTGTTCGGCCCGCCTGACATGGACGGATGGCAGTCGGCGGGCAGCCGCCCCTTCCCGATGCCCGACGGCTCTCTGGTCGACGTCCCCTTCTCGTTCGTCGATGGCGCGCGGGGCCACCACGCCTTCCCGCTGTACCTCTGCCCCACCACCATCATCCACGGGCTCGACGACGAGATCATCCCCGTCGACACCACCAAACAGTTCTGGGAAACGGTGAGTCAGTTGCCGAGTGACGTGAATGCCTGCCTGGGTCGATGGATGTCCATGCTGTTCTCTGTCTGTCTGTCTGTGTGTGTGTGTGTGTGTCTGTGTGTGTCTGTGTGTCGGTCGGTCGGTCGGTTGATCAGCACGAGGATCAGGGTGAGGTGACCTCTCTGCTGCTGGTGCCCGACCAACACGCCCTCACGGCCCCCAACACCCTCTCCCTCACACTCAAGACCATCACCGACTTCTTCAGACTCTCTCACACAAACAAGCAGCAGCAGCAGCAGCAGCAGCAGGATCAGGCCCCCCCACCAGCAGCAGCAGCAGCAGCAGTCGCAGCAGCAATGATAGAAGTAGAGCGCAAGTTTCCGATGCTGGACGAGAGCGACCTGGAGAGGGCGATAGAGAGGGAGGGGGGGCAGCTGGTGGGCGAGCAGGCTTTTGTCGACACCTACTTCGACTGGGAGGGGTACCCCCTGACGCTGCACAACTGCTGGCTCAGGAGACGGGCAGGGCTCTGGGAACTCAAGACACCGAGGGGCGTTACGGTATGCATGCTACTGGCCCACTGTGTGTGTTTTGTGTGTGATCGATGTCATGTGTGTGCTGATTGATTGACAGAAGGAGGGCGGCGATCAGTACAGTGGTCATGAGGGGGAGGGCAGGCTCGCCATATTCGAGGAAGAGCTCGATGAAGACAAAATAGTCCAATACCTCAAGGTAGTGTGTGTAGAGGGATACATGGGTGACGACCCACACACACATTCACACACACACTGTATCTGTGTGTTCTTCTCACACAGACTCACTTTGCTGACCACATGACTTCCGACGACCTCAAGACAGCCGTCGCCGAGGAGACCCCAGGCGGCGGAACACGAGCCGGGCTGCAGGCCTTCTGCCACGTACACAAGCGCACGTGTCACACGCAAAGATCCTGGTGGTGACGTGTGTGATGCATGTGTGTGTGTGTGTACTAGTATGGCACGAACCGGCGCAAGTATGTGGCGGGCGACCCAGCTATCACCATTGATGTCGACTCGGCGTCATTTGGCTACGGGTGAGTGAGCGAGCGAGTTGGTGAGATGGACAGACAGAAACAGCCCGCCCATGGACATCTGTGTGCAAATCAATAGGTGTGTTGAGCTGGAGCGCATGTGTGTGTCCGACGAGGAGACGGCCGCAGCCACACGGGACATCGACAGCATGGCCAAGCGACTCAACCTGGCCTCATCTATCGCCCAAACAGGCGAACACGCCCCTGCGCCTCAGTCAGCGCCCCAGCCGTCCGCGGACGGGCGCAAACTGTCTTTGGGCCTGCCTTCCAGCGGCCCCCTGTCGCTCGGCATACCGCTCAGAGGAGAGCCCGAGAGCCCCCCACCAAGGTACACCACACACACAGAGAGAGAGAGAGAGGGAGATTGCTGTGCGTGTGCAGTCGTTGATTGCCTCTATGCTCTTCTGTGTGTTGTGATTGTGCGCATGTGTCTGCAGGGGTGTGGGAGGTGGGCTGCCTTTGGGTTCGCAGGGCGGCCCGCACCGGGCGGCCATGTCGGTGCAGCGCGGCAAGCTGGAGGAGTGGATAAGGAGATACTCGCCGCAGCACTTCGACCTCCTCAAAGACGCCAAGATATTCCAATAACCTAGGAATGCGATAGACAGACAGACAGAGAGACATGTAGATGAGTAGGGATGGATGGACATGACATGCGGCTGGGGCTAGCTATTCTCTGCCATGGGTTGTTTGTTTTTTTGCGGGATGGGATTATCCCGCAGCCTAGGCCTCCCTCGCTGTTTTTCTTATGGAATGGGGAACGGGTACGTGTGATACATGTACCATATGAGAGCGAGGGTAGGGGAGTTGTGCGTTGATGATTGGTCTCAGTCGGTTTGTGTGAGTTTTGCAGCTGAAGGGATGGATGGATGGATGGATGGACACACAGACAAGCGAGGGAGGCAGGTAGGGTCTCTCTTGGTTCTCCATTGTCTGTGGCGTGTTTTGAGTGAGTCTGTGTGCGTCTCCATTTGACTAGTGTGTAAGTCTCTTGTAAAGGGGGTGTGTTAAACTAGATGTTAAAGGCACATGGAGCTGAATTCTGTCGGTACTGTCAACAATCCTTCACTTGAATGCAACCAAGGAAAGCGGCAGAACGCCTGCCGCCGCACCGCCCCTGCGCGAGCTTGAAACGATCTTGTGGCTCCAGAAAGGAGTCATCGGATGAGCCGCTGTGTGCATGGTGATGCTGATGGGCTGATACCTCTGGATCCAGACGCAGCTATCTGCCGTGATCTGTCGTGATCTGCCCGTTGCGAGGCAGATCAGCCTGTTGCAGATGGGGGGGGGGAGAAACTGTCATTAACCGTAACACTCGTCTGTGTGTCCGTGATACTCATACAAATACAGTCCCATCAGCACGCAGAGTCAAACAGGCTCAAGGGGAGGAGGGATCAATCCCCGCCCCATCAGCACACCCCAGTCCCGCAAACCCTCCCCTCCCTCCCCCACGCAGACAGAAGCTAGTCGCACGCGCGAGGGCGATAGACAAGCGAGAGCGAATCCATCCAGACACATGACTGAACCCCCGACCCTTCCACCCCTCCTTTTCCAACAGCGCATGAGCCATGTGGGCGATGAACACGTTGGCATCGTGTCCCCACACACCGTCACACGTCACCACCAGAGGGCAGAAGGTCACGCGGGAGTCGCAGACGGCCGAGCGGTATTTCTTCTTCTTGGCGGTCTCGTGCTGCTTCAGGATGGACTTGGTCGATCGGTTCTTGGAAGCGTAAGACGTTGCGTCAGGATCCGTAATACAGATGTCAAACGACGCAGCCGCCTGCCGCTCCCACACGCCCC